TATATATATATATATATATATATATATATATATATATATATGAGATACAGGTACAACAAATAATATTTAAATGTTCTTGAAAGTAAAGTGCAACAAAAGACTAAATTACACATAGCCTATAGTTTAGCATTAGGCTATATTTGTGTATTGCATTTCAAGTAAATAACTTTGATCATGTCAAACAAAACCGATTCTCTCCAATGAACGCACGAGTATCCATTAAAATGCGATTGTAATGAAAGGAAACTTTCAACGCTGTGGAGTAAAATATATTTGTTACTGAGACCGAGCAGTCACTTGTTCTCCGATAATTAGTGCATCAAAATATATGAATGAGCTCTTACCTCTGGCTTAGGGAGAAAGAAATCTCTGCGCTGCAGACATCCAAGAGTCCGCTCTGTGCAACTACATCCTTCACTTTGCCATACAGGACTCTGCCCCTCACAGTTGACTGTAATCAGCGGAGCGCGCACCTCCTAATGCGCGCTCACGAGTGCACGTTATCCCTTGAATGCGCAAAAGAAACCCGGTGCTGCTGTCCGATATAACAAAATGATCTAAACCTTATCTCACGCAAACATTAGACAATTAGATGAATGTGTTTACGCTAAATAGAGCGCGCAAAACAATATTGATGTTCTTGGCAATGCCGTTAAAAACGCATTTAAGATTGTTGCAACCTATCTTCCATGAAGGGTAAATTAGCACCTGATCAAAACTGAATACTACTAGAAAAGTGTAAATGGAGAAATTTCAGATATATCTGTGGACTATGCAATTAAGTCCTCTTTTTATCCTTCCTCATTAAAGGATGAAATATTGGAGCTGCTGTAAAAGGAAAACCTCAGACTTCAACACGTTTCTGTCTCAGGAGGGCTGTACCCAAGGAAAGCATCAGTGGAAGAGAAAAGATACAGTAAGTGTCTACCATGAGATTTAAAAGTCAAAGCACCATATTACTTTAATTTTTTTTCACATCCTGTCCAATAAAAAAAAAAGTCTGGCCTTTTGCAGGCCTACATCCAAGTTCTACCTGAACAAATAATTTGTTGAATACATTTACAGGTGAATCCCGTTTTAAGTGGAGGATGACATTTTTCTGTGTGTGCACAGGGAAAGAAGGTTGTGCCATGCAGGTTTGATTGGCATCAAACAGGAAGTCAAGTCATCATTTCAATTTATGCCAAAAATTCAGTACCAGAGCTGAGCTCAGTGGAGGGGAACAGCACTGTGGTAAGACACAAAGGTCACTTCTGTTGGATTTTGTGCTGACATTACATAGAAAGTCTCATAGGTGTGTTTTTTTTTAACCATTAATTTATAGAGAACAAGTTCTTCTCATTAACAGTTCACCCAGCCAAAACCCACATTGATGTTACAACCTCTTAAGGATAAATGACTGGAAACAGCCATTTTTAATTGTCTTTGTAGTCCAGATGAGCCTTTCTCCAGTCTACAACAGAAGATCTCTCCTTCGCTTGAACAGGCTTTAGAAAAGCTTAAACTGACTCAGGAAAATGCACAGGAGATAAAGGGTAAGAATATCCCAACCATCATTTTCCCCACCTTTCTATGTTTGTCTATTACTCTGTTGCATTTTATTCTCTTTCTTGTATTATAGAGGAGGATAGTGATGAAATTAAGATAGGGACATCCTGTAAGAATGGAGGCTGCAGTAAGGTACTGTTCTCTCTGCCTGCTTTTCCGATAAGGAACCATGGCACGTTGAATCTCTTAAGTCCATTATAAACAATGGATTCTCATTATTCTATTTTTCAGACATTCAGCGGACCAGCCAGTGATGAAGAGACATGTTTGTATCATGCTGGTGTACCTATCTTCCATGAAGGGTAAATTAGCACCTGATCAAAACTGAATACTACTAGAAAAGTGTAAATGGAGAAATTTCAGATATATCTGTGGACTATGCAATTACGTCCTCTTTTTATCCTTCCTCATTAAAGGATGAAATATTGGAGCTGCTGTAAAAGGAAAACCTCAGACTTCAACACGTTTCTGTCTCAGGAGGGCTGTACCCAAGGAAAGCATCAGTGGAAGAGAAAAGATACAGTAAGTGTCTACCATGAGATTTAAAAGTCAAAGCACCATATTACTTAAATTTTTTTTTCACATCCTGTCCAATAAAAAAAAAAGAGCATCTGGCCTTTTGCAGGCCTACATCCAAGTTCTACCTGAACAAATAATTTGTTGAATACATTTACAGGTGAATCCCGTTTTAAGTGGAGGATGACATTTTTCTGTGTGTGCACAGGGAAAGAAGGTTGTGCCATGCAGGTTTGATTGGCATCAAACAGGAAGTCAAGTCATCATTTCAATTTATGCCAAAAATTCAGTACCAGAGCTGAGCTCAGTGGAGGGGAACAGCACTGTGGTAAGACACAAAGGTCACTTCTGTTGGATTTTGTGCTGACATTACATAGAAAGTCTCATAGGTGTGTTTTTTTTTAACCATTAATTCCTGTGCTCTATTTTACACTTATTTGCAAGATTCTGTATAGCGGTCATTTAAAATGTACTTTATTCTTGCAGCTCAAAATCCACATTATATTTGAAGGAGAGAAAGAATTTGAACACCAGATCAGTTTGTGGGGGGTAAGTATAGACTTGTAAAGTACTTTAAACTCTTTTGGGGGGGGGGGGCCCACTGTGCGTCATGCCTAACAACACCACTTACCCATTCTAAAATCAGTGTAAACCACCGCTTTGAGGCTTATTGCATTAACAAACTTCACTACAATACAAAAAAAAAGCATCAAATTATTTAATAATTCTAAGACTTGTCCATTTGCTATTCCCTTTAGGTAATTGATGCAAGTAGAAGTTTGGTGAACATGATGGCTACCAAAATTGAGGTTGTGTTGAAGAAAGCAGAACCAATGTCATGGGCCCGACTAGATCTACCACCTGTAGCTCCTCCAAAGGGAGACAAAAAGGAAAAAGATGTTGACAGTGAGGATGAGTGTGATTAAATTAAGAGACTGTAAGAGAACTACCATTCTCTGAATGGGAATCATCTTCTCTGGTTCTAAGGTTTGATACATAATGAAGCATGAATGTGTCATGTAAATTCTGAAAGCTCTTCATGTTTGTCCAAGATAATAGATTTATTGTACAGGGCATGTTTAGAGGGTTTTTCTAAGAAAGCTTTCAAGGAACCAAGTTACTCTAATACAATATTTTGATTCAAACCTAAATGTGTGCAGTCCTAGTAAATGGATCATTTCACATTCCACTGTTTTGTTTAAGTGTACTATGGAAGCCAGTGGGGACCAGAAACTCTTTGGGTAACTACATTCTTTAAAATATATTTTAATGTTCAACAGAATGAAACTCATATAGGGTTGTAACAACTTCAGTGATGGAAAATTTAATTTTGGGTGAACTATCCCCAAAAAAAAACTATCTTTTAAGTTTGGCAAGATCAAAGTGCATTTGCACACAAAAGTATTACAATAACGTTTGACAAGAAACCTCCCCATCCGAGGAAAAAAAAAACAAAAAAAAACTTGACACCCACCTCACCGAAATACTTCACTAAGAGCCGCACGATGAACAGCATTGTTCTCATGGTTTTGTAGGAACTCCATTCGATACAGCCCTCCCAGTTCCTCCAACAAACAAAGCTTATCCACCTCCCCAAGTTTCTCAGCAGCCTGCAGAAGGCACACGGTTAATATTTTAGCATATCTCTCATAACGCAAAGCACTGGGAGTTGCAGTAGGGTTTTACATACTCTTTGAAACCACACATAGTGGACACACCAAGAAAGTGTTATTTATGGTGTAGCATGACCAGGACAGTCTGGGTGTCTTTAACTTGAAGCAAGTTCAAGATGGCCTCTAAAGCGCCGCACTTGACCAGATGAACAACTTGGTCCACAGTCCCACCACTTGTGTAGTTGGTCACTGCCCATACTGCTTCTCGCCGGGTTTTGAAGACACCCTGCAAAACAGTTTGAAGAGGTACAAAAAAAAGTGTCCCAAAGTGTCAGATCCTGGCCAAACAAACACTGTGAAGTGGGTAGACTTTGAGGATGCATGGCCTATTTTGTCTGTAAAGTAGACATCCATTTATGAATTTATGAACCTTAATTAGCTGCATTTACAAATATTACTAAAGAGATGCAAAATCAAAGACTGCCATTACAGCCGTTATCGGAGTCAAATTATGATATAACTGCAAACATTAGAAACAGTCAGAAATTCTTGCACAAGACCAAATTCAGTATAGCCATTTGCTTAAACTATTTTCAATATAATTACCTCAAAGATTTGACAGAGCATGTTACAGTACACTTTTGCCAACTGGAAATGCAACTACATTTCAAGAAGCCCCAGGAGGGTCTGCTTGCATAATTGGCCTCATTTTATGCCCAGCTTTAGGAGAAGCAAGCAATCAAGTAGAAGCCAGAACATTTTATGGGCAACTCTGCGTGGGCAGAAGACACTCAACATGCAAACAAGGCATCAGTTACGACATATATTCCTTAGGAGATCCAATAGAGGAGCCAACAGTCCACACACGTGATGAGCTGTTGGATCTGTTGGCAGGGTCCAGCTGCAATGTTGTACACCACCCAAGCTGCCTCCTTCTGAACACTGGACTTAGGGTGTTGCATCAGATGGGGCAATACACACCTGCATCAATGGCCGCTTGTGTCTGCAGGTCTGAGCCACTCACGATATTCCCAATCGAAGGCAAGGCTGGTGTCTAGAGCATATTGGAGAAACTCCCCTTAAGCCGTTTAGCTTCAACACCAAAAGAAAACAAAACACTAGAGTACTTACCACAGCAAGTTCCTCAAATCCCAAGAGCTCAACCAAGCGTGGAAGGATTCCAGTCTTGATGACCACATCAATCCACTCATTGGGTCCTTCAGTGAGGTACGAAATGGCCCAGCATGCATCAGACAGGATGGATTTGTCACCATGGTGGAGCAGTTGGAAAATGGAGGGGAGCATTTTGCTGGACTGCACTGAAATGAGGGAAAGGATACTTGTTGCTACAAAAGGTTTGACAGGGTCCACGTAAGATTGCAAAGGTATTCCACCTGCAAAAACATTGTTGATAACATTATGCATTTACACTTGCAACTCGGGTGTGGGGTGTCCAGAAGAAACTCACAGGAGCATCTAGCATGAGTAGTGCCAACAGAGCAGGGATGACACCAGTCAATCAGGGCATCTCAATATGATGGACAATCACCTAAAAAGGGATAAAGAACACCTTGGCAAATGGTTTTTCAATCTTCAGAAGAGTACAACTTGCATCGTCATCCTTTGTTCCTCTCTGAACATTCAAGAACCCAAGTTTCACCAATCATTAGGAGTACAAATGTTCAGTATACTCACCTGCAATGTTGCCTAAAGCCCAGACAGCCTGTTCACTGATGTTAAGCATTGGTGAAGCCAGCAGGGCAATGAAGGCTGGCACCGCCCCGTGCTCTACCACCTGCTGTGTGTGCCAGGAGGTACCAGATGCAATGTTGGCGAGAGACCAGGCAGCCTCAAACTGCAGCGTGGGGTCATCATGCCTTCCTAGAAACTCCACAAAGTGAGTCAGAAGTCCAGCTTCTACAATCTCCTTCAGGGGAGGGTTCCTCTCCCGAGAAAGCAGCTTACTGCAAGCATCTGTTTGAAGGTTGGTAATGCTCTATAAAATGTTTTGAGATCACTGATGAAGACTGGTGATTGTACCTAACTGCTTGACAACCTTGTCTCTGCTTCTCTGGGCAGTCACTGTTCACATTTGCAACAATTTCTTGAACTGTTGCAGATGTGACCTTAAAATAAAAACAGTTTTAAGAGTATTGTATACATGTGAATTCTAATTAAAGGTTTAACTAACAAACACCTGTTCGTTGTCAGTGTTATACTCTGGTGACAGAGGCTCCTCATCTCCCACAGAGGAGATATTTCTCCTCTTCAAAATACTTTCAACCCTTTGAGCTTTTTGAAGCTCAACACACTCTGCGATTCTACGGGCATGCATTTTCTGCAAGCATAGATAGGGTGCAGAGACATCAAGAGATTATAAGGAGTGAAGAGTTAAAAGGGGGAAATTGCCAGAATATATGCACAGCTCACCGTTGGCTCCTTGCCCTTATTTTCGAACTTGGACATGCTTTTATCAGATTGTCAGTAGGCATTTTGACGCTCAATGCACTATCCAAAGGGCAATCAATGCTTACGATCAAACGTTACAATAACTGATAAAACAGAACCGAAAGCTGGCATTAGTACAAAACAAAAACAGATCTCTCAATGGCAGACTCGACTGCAATTACAAACAATCAACTGCAAAGAGCATTAAATAGACCAGCACAATTAGAATCAGGTGATATTAATTTGTAGCCTTACCGCACACCAGATCAAAGGTTTTGCACTTTGTTTGGTGTGAATAAAATGTTGTTTTATGTTTTGGATCACACAACTACAGTATAATAATAAAGTCAGGTGATAACCAGCTAATGTCACGACCTGAACAAAATAGGATTTTTACATTTTTTTAAATGTGTTCTATAACATAAAAAAGTATGTTATTGCCATCTAGAGGCCAATAGTAATATAGTAAGATTTAGAGGAGCTGCATATGCCTGTATTGCTGTCCTTTCTAATGTATATCCTATGACCTTGCAAATTAATTGTATTGTATACAGTTAATTTTTAATCACTATATATATAGTATAGATATATACTATATATAGATATTAAGTATACATAAATGATATAAGACATTACATAAAAAGTACATAAAATATGCAAAATATTTATATAAAATGTACACAAAAAATCTATAGCTAAAATCTTTATATAATTGACATATTATTAATAATACATGTTTGATAACACAACTATTCACAGCCTCACTTGGATTTGCTCCAGAAAAAAAATTTATAATCTTTGCAAGCAGTACATATTTTACCATTAAATATTTTATGGAAGCCTGTATTGTTATCTGAAGGTGATCTATAGCAGTAATTCCTGATAACGGGCACACGTTAATATGTAAAAATTGGGTTACACTTGTAGTAAAATACAGAGGTAGATGTTTAAGTTTCTTTCATTTCTCTCTACTTTACAGCAAAACAATGTCAGATGGACTGGACACAGCCCTGGAGCTGCCAAGCCTTCCTCTTTAAAATGACTTACTCTGTAAGTTTGTTTTTCACTTACAGTATCATCAACTTTTAGTTTAAAAGGGAATCACTTTAATAGTTTTATTATTTTTATTTAGTGATATTAATAATACAACTAAATGTAAATTATGCGTTATTTCTGGTTTGTTGTTGATGTAGGGGTACATGAGACTAAATCTAAAACAAAAAGGTGAGAAGTAGCACTAATCTGTAATAAAGAATCTAATATTCTGAGTTACCAGGTGATGGCGCTGTGCCCGTATGACTAAGTTAAGTGGTCAGAAAGTCTGCATCACTGAAAGAAATATTTAAGGGGAAAGAATTCTAATAAAAGCGTGTTCTAGTCAGTGAAATACCAGATTGTCGAACCTTTACAACTTTTTCATTCTAACCTTTAATTAAAAAAACATTTTTCTCAACCAATCAGTTGAGATGTTCAGGAAAAGTTAAACCTTACAACACGTAGGGCGGGTACTCCAATAAAAAAAGAAATCTCCTTATCTTCGAGGTTTATGTTTACAAAAATAAATGATCAACGTCCACTGACAAAAATGTATTTAAAAAATAGGTTTAGACTTTTCTGTTACTTTTCTTTTTAGAGTAACAGATTACTTCGGTATGGTTTCATCGTCGTCATGAACTTGAGATGTAAATATTTAAAAAAAATAATAATAATAATAGTCACGTGACGCGCGCGAGAATTGTCGCCGAAGTGAAGGCGCATCGCACGCGCTCCTACACACAGAGACATTTCGGTTGTGAGAGCAGGAGCAATGGACCAAATCAACGAGCGAACGGTACGTTGTGTTATCATTGCTGTTTTTATTATTATTGACGATGGTATTTAACACTTTTTCAACAGAAGTCTAATGCCTCATGCTTAAGTTCATGGTCATGTTTCTGTTGATTTGAACGGTCGTAACGTTACTCTTTATTTGTCCAGTTCCTAAGTATGTGTTATGGCGATATATGAAGTGGTATTTCGCCAAATTATTGCCATTCATTGATTCAAATTCACTGGTTTGTGGTTGACGCTTCAGATTGTATTTCAGCACCACGGAGAGCTCAGACTGCAGCGAATGCTTTTTGAATCTTGTAACTTTTATGTTTGGCACCTTTTTCAGTTAATAAAGTAATTAATTTCTCTCTAACTGCTTGTTAAAATTAACATTCAGAAACACATCAACCATAGCGCGCGTTCTATGCAGTATGCATTTCTCTGTAATGTTAAATAACTGTTGGTGGTTTGTCACGGATCCAGTTGAACAGAATGCATTTTATAAGTTTGTCCAACAATTTTGTGTTTGAAGAATTCAGAGTTTTCTTCCGAGCTGGAAAACTGAATATATGTAGTCCTGCTGGTTAAAAAATTCATCGTAGTTCCTTTTAAGTCAGAGCAAAACCTGTCAATAGAGGAACATAAATAGTGTGTCTATGTACCAATACCAACTATGCATTTTGAGCACTGAAGTGAGTATGAAGGATCAATCTTATTAAATATACATGGGGTTCTGTGTTCATACAGTGGGTTTCTATCAGTCCATTGCAACTGAAAGTAGTATAAATTGTGGATAGACATCAATAATAATCCCTAAATCCCTCTCCCGTGTTTTCTTGGCATGCTATGATTTCCCCAAGTGATCTGTAAAAGTATAAGATATAGCCCTCAGACCCTGTAAACTGAAGGAAACAGCACAATATGTTTTATGATATAATGGCTCTCATATAAGTAACCAAAAATCATTCTGGGGAATTCTGTATTTATCTCTCTAAACTGTGTAACTCATTTTAATGCAATGAATAATTCATTTACATTAGTGAAAAGAGGTTAAAGAGGCCATGTAAATATTCAGTGGCTGCAAATCTGCATAAGATCATTATATTCCGGGTCTCTGTGTTGTGCAAAATCTCTGAGGTTTTGATTCTGAATGAATACATGAATCAGAATCGATACATATTTTAAGATTTATGTGCTCTTTGTTTCTAACAGGTCATTGTTAATGATGCATCTCATTATTGAGATCTGCCAAGCACATTTCACAAACTTCTTCATGTGCATTTCAACTTTGTTTTCCTCCTGATCTTGAGATATTTAGAGGAAGGCAGAAGAATCCTCACACTTTAGAATAAGACGTTGCCCTGGCGACAGCTCATCCTTATCACGACTCTCACAAATATGCACCTCTGTGATTCAGTGGGAGGTTGATGATCTCCAAGGATATTGTTCTGAAGATTTCTGCTTCTTGTGACTCTTTCAGATGCCCTGAGGAACCTACCAGTATTTGACACTCTGATCTGAGAGGGTTGAGGAAATGGGGATTTTACATTTTCTGGTGTTTGTGCTGCTTGGAGACAGATTGGGTCCTACACGTTCGGACATTTTAGCGAAGGCCCAGGCCAGCGAGCGACGTGTCTTGGCACACATACCCGGTGACATCATCATTGGGGCTCTTTTCTCCGTCCATCATCAGCCACCGGCTGATAAGGTTCACGAGCGCAAATGCGGCGCTGTACGCGAGCAGTATGGCATCCAGCGGGTGGAGGCCATGATGCACACCCTGGACCGCATCAACGCGGACCCACACATCCTACCCAACATCACACTGGGCTGCGAGATCAGAGACTCCTGTTGGCATTCGGCTGTGGCTTTGGAGCAGAGCATCGAGTTCATTCGTGACACTCTAGTCTCAGCCGAGGAGGAAGAAGGCATGTCTAAGTGTTCAACTGAAGGTGGAGGGACTCCCATGACAGGGAAGAAGCCCATTGTGGGGCTGATCGGGCCCGGATCCAGTTCTGTGGCCATCCAGGTTCAGAATCTCCTTCAGCTCTTCAACATTCCCCAGATTGCATATTCGGCAACCAGTATGGATCTCAGCGATAAGTCTTTGTACAAGTACTTTATGAGGGTGGTGCCCTCCGATGCCCAGCAGGCCAGAGCGATGGTGGACATCGTCAAAAAATACAACTGGACCTATGTATCTGCCATTCACACTGAAGGTATGTGATCTCTCCCCTCAGGGAAGCATTTTTCTTCATGGTTATTATGAGATTTTCCATAGTTAGAAGAGAAAAGCTTCTTAAAAGAACTAAGTCTGCCCTGGAACTCTTTTTCATTCTTTTCTTTTGAGCAGAATTCATTTTTTTTTTTAGTTCTAGAGGTTTAATTTCTTCCTCTCATTAGTATTTCACAAAAGTCTTCCAGTGCGAAAGGCAGATCTCCACCAGCATGTAACACTATTATTTAAAGTGTTAAATCTTCCACGTTCTCAAAGTGAGAGATTTTCCAGTGATAATGTATCATTCTGTCTGTTGCGGTTCACCTTTATCTTGGCCTAAACAGCGAAATCTCTTTATTATTCATAGAGGGAAATGTCACATCTTTTAAGGAGTTCTCATAAAGATTTTATGTCTCTGATGCAGCATATGCCATGTGTAGTCAAGATAGCATCTGCTAATCATTTTTATGTACTTGTTTATTAAATTACACTTGGTGACAAAAAATGTAACACCATTTAAACTGCATTAAGTCAGACTTTATATCTTGAATGTGCATAGCAATGTTATTTTAGTACCACTGAGATACTATTATTGTTCTTATTAGTATTTTTAGTTACGTTTTAGCAGTTGTGCTGTGTTTTTGTCATTTTTTGTTTTTAAAATATTTAAATATATCATTTTTATTTTTTATTTTTAGTTATTTTAGTATATCAAGTTAAACTAAATAAAAATTAGAAATTCTGCCTTGGCAATTAGATGAAAATAAAATAAGTTTCTTATATTATAAATAGTTTTTAAAAAATTCAGTTAATTATATTTTATTGCATGTAACAAAAATGTTTTTATGCTTTTAATTTTAGTTAACTGTTAAATATTAAATATTAACCTGGGTGGATAGTTTACTGAACAAATTACAGTTAACGTTTATTTCAAGTAACAAGAAATGTTGTTTATGGTTTTAGTTTTAGTTAACTATTAAATATTAACAATGATGCATAGTTTACTGAAGATTACAAACTCAAGCGGTTTGGCTAGAAGATTGATGACCTCACAGACAGGTGTTAATTTAGGGTGACCATACATGCCAAAATACCATACAGACAGTTCCTTATGCTTTCAAAATGCTCTCGAGGTATTTTGATGTCATACACCGATTGGTCTGCACATGCAAACAAAGCCAAAACCTAGATATTTTAGGCAATATAGAAATCCTGGCCAGGACGCGTCCTGGGAAAATGGCACGTATGGTCACCCTAGTTAATTGACAGCAGGTAGTTAAATGTGGAGCCCACCGCAGTTTTCACCTACATACAGAACAAGGAGCTGTGAAATACTCCATAATGTTGATTCATTTGATTGCATATTCTGTAGCTCTATTTGTATCATATCATAATTTGATATGTGAGCTCAGCTCATTTGTGAGCTCTATTGATAAAATAGATCAAATGTTTGTAGTCACATTTGATTTGAGTTGTGTTTAACCAGCTTGTCAATCAACATGCTGAACACCGACGAGGAAAAGGAGTTTTTGCCTAGTTATGAAAATTGCCAGTGAAATTACTAAAGAATTGTTCATGAAAGCTGTGTGTATATAATAGTGAGATTTACTGTCTATTTATACAAATATATTTTATTGGAGGTTTTGAAATGCAAAAGTTTCCTTTCAAACAAAGACCATTCAGACAATGTGTCAAGCAGCATCATACCTTTCTGCAGATTTGTCTATCTATTGTTTCGTCATGTTCAAGAGTGTCTTTGATGTTTGAAAACACCCCCATGATGCTTTGCATACAGCGTACACCGAATGAATGGTTAATAGATATGCTCACGTATTGTGTTGCTGCTGCACTTTTGTTTTGGCCTTTTTTTGGCCTCATGACAGACCATAGAACAAACAGAAATCATTAGCTGAAAGGCGATCATGATGATCATTTACATCTTTAGCTCTGTTTTCAGTGTCTGTGGGCGTTTAATGAGTTTTCCTGTTTGAGTGAACACACTGTTTAAAGACTTGTCGCTTGTGCAGCGTCTGTCTCTCTGTAGGAGGGAAAGAGACAGTCGAGGTCATCAAAATTTCTCCGTTATTGTGTGCAGAGGTCATTTTACCCACATTTGTTATTGCTTCTTTTGACCGACCTATTGAATTGCAGAACCACTTGTTTTCTGCCCTTTATCATTGAAATGCCTGTAAAATATTATGTAACTCTAATTTATTAATTATATATCCATTTTTATATGAGACAGAAGGTTCTAGTGAAGTATGAGCGAGCGCAGCGAGGGAATTAATTCACAGAACTGGCACAGAGGAATAGAGTGAAAGATTTGAAGAAGATCTTCCCTGAGGAGAGAGATTAGAGATGAAGTCATGCGCATTTGGAAGTACACTTCTCAAATCTAAGACTTCACAGAGATGAAGAATGAGATGCTTTTGATAGTCAAGTTTTTGGATAGGATATGCTCTTAAATTTGATTAATTAACCCTTGATTATTTACACAATGTCAATAAAAAAACAAAATGCTAAATTCAGTAAATATTGCTCAATAAAAGCGTTATTTTTTTCTCTCTTTTTTTTAAGTTTTATATCATCGTACTGATTTCTGACATTTTAGCGAAGAGTTCAGGATGTTCTAGAGTAAGACAAAGCACAAAATATCCCGGAATCCATCAAATTCATTGCTAATTCTTAATGATGATTGTTTTGTTTTTTCCATCAAAAGTGATCAGAAAAATTATTAATGGAGGGTGATGTCATTCATTTGCATCTGTTAGTTAACGTATTACAAAATCATATTTAAAGTTAGCTAAAGGGTTACAAAACAATATTTAAAGTAGTTAAAGTGTTACAGTAATATTTAATATTTCACATTTTATCATTAAGACACTAGTTTGGCGTTTGCTAAGATTTCTTATGCTTACCAATGCTGCGTTTGTTTGATTAAAAATACAGTAAAAACAGTGATATTGTGAAATTTTATTAGAATTTAAAAATAACTGTTTTCTGTTTAATATATTTTAAGATGTAATAAATTCCTTTGATGGCAAAGGTGAATTTTCAGCACCGTTACGTCACTCTTCATTGTCACGTGATCCTTCAGAAATCATTCTAATATGCTGATTTGCTTCTAATGAAACAGTTCTTATTATTATCAATGTTACAAACAGCTGTGTTGCTTAATTGTTTTGTGGAAACCATGACTCATTGATGAACACAAAGTGCAAAAACATATTTAAAGTGGAACTTTTTGTAACATTATAATTGTGTTTACTGTCACTTTCGATACATTTAATGCTTAATTGTTGAATAAAAGTGTTGATTTCTTTTTAAAAATCTTACTGACCCCAAACTTTTTAACAGTAATGTACATTATTAAAATATTGAGAATATATGATGGGTACATGAAAATGTACTGCATACCAGGAATGACCAATATCTGCTGCAATTTTGGCAAAAGCCCTCCTTGTTTTTTTGGTACAGTTCCTCAAATCTCTCTTGTCAGGATGAACAGCAGTGGAGATTTCTCACCTTGCAGACACAGCTCACTCACTAGAATGCTGATAGCAACCTGGGGTTAAGTGTTTTCCTCTGGGACGTGATGGTGACGGGGGTCTCCATCCCTTACGGGGGTAAGGTTACAGATCACAAATCACCTCTGCCAAATTTGAACCTGCAACCTATTAAGTGACGAGTCCAGACTGTTAACCACTACGCTCACTCCTAATGTTATTTATTTGTATTTTTTTGCAAAGCTCCATCACTGGAATGATCTTGTGAATGTTGTTTTAATCCTCATAATCTCCATTATCAGAACTCATAATCTCAGATGTAATTAAGATGTTTGCCAGCACCTGACCAACTAATACTAGCACTTACCTATTCTATTCCATTCTATTATTAAAAAAAAAAAAAAAACTAGCGTGTACTGTGCTAAACTAACTGAGACTTGTCATGGCACTTGTATACTGTTGTTCTCTCGTTGGTCTGATTGCTTCTATTGTTCTCATTTGTAAGTCGCTTTGGATAAAAGTGTCTGCTAAATGGTTAAATGTAAATGTTTGTGCATTGATTTGGAAAAAAACACTGAAAGTAGATTTATTTGGGTGAAATTAAGGTGTTTGTTTGCTCTTTATCAAGACTTCTTTGCAATTGTATCAAATTCGTACCTCGTAAAATGTGTGAAGACTGGGAACATTCCTCACACAAAAGTAGGTGACCTGATTTTTATGTAAAGTGGGGGAGTTTACCCCTGACGCTTTGTGAAAGAGGGGCACCATTGCCTGTTTTTCATTAGTTTTCTAAGCATGAAAAAGTGAAATCTATTTTTATTTTTTACTGAATCTATCCAGGAAGCAAAGCACAGAACATGGACACTTTTATGGAATATAAATGATGATTTGGGAAACTTTGCAGTAAGCATGACGTCTTAATTCATGTTCAGTCTACTATTCCGAATGTTTCACTACTTCTTCCACTGGCCTACCCAGTCAAGTCATGGTAATAATGAGAAAGTAGGATAGATATTATTTGTGAACACCAGAAGAAATAATGATACAAATAAAATGTGGGAAAGTTAGCCAAAGCTGGTACTGTTCCTGGCAGTGCGTAGCACCTACAGCTCTTCATATCCTCCTGAAGATTTTAACAAGGTTATTTTAGCATGAGTTTACCAGGTTGAGCATCACATTTCACTGTGGATTGTTTTGTGAACCAATCAAAATGACATTTGTGATGTCCATCTCTGTCACAGTTACATTATAGCTGTACAATTTCAAGCTATTTTATATTAAAAACAATAAATTATTTGATATAAATGTTTTATTAAATCAATGTTAAATCTAAATTCTAATAATATATTATTAAATATAAATACATTTTACAGATAATATAAATAACAAAAATAATATAATTTTTTTTTTCGGAGGAATACTATAATATAATACAATATATTATAATGATTTTATCATTTAAATGTTCACAAGTTTTAGCATTGTTACTGAAACTGTGATGGCCCAGCAGCAATACAATTTGTGAAGAAAGTTTCTGAACATGTTTCAAGCTTAAAAATCATTCAATCTCTCAATCTTCAGGGAACTACGGTGAGAGCGGAATGGAGGCCTTCAAAGACATGGCAGCAAAGGAGGGCATCTGTATCGCCCACTCTGACAAGATCTACAGCAATGCTGGAGAACAGAGTTTTGACCGTCTTCTCGATAAGCTCAGGATCCACCTGCCCAAAGCTCGAGTGGTGGCGTGCTTCTGCGAGGGCATGACCGTACGTGGCATCCTCATGGCCATGAGACGCCGCCGCCTAGTTGGAGAGTTTCTGTTGGTTGGCAGGTGAGTTACCCAAAACATGGACTCTATGCACATGGATTTATATTTTTGGCAGACATTTCTTATCAAAGCAACGGCAAGAAAACACTCCTAAAATTGTGCCTGTGAGCTGTGGCAAGCACTCTTGGCAGGTTTAGAAAACAAATCTTGTTTTTTTTTCTCAAATTGTAGGTGTTGTAAGCTTTCTGTACATCTATAACACTTACTGCTGCAGAAAAACAACTATGCAGCATACTTGGGAAGTATTGTAGAGGAGACGGAGGGTAGTTGCCACATGTTTTACTCCAGTGACCATTTCTCAAGAGTATAATTTGTTTTGAATATATTTGTTTTTTTTATTGTATATTCTGTTTAGATGCATACCATAGAGAGTCATGACTATCCAATTAATATTTTTCTCTGCAGTTGCCCAGGAGAAAGTTTCTTGCTATTGTTAAGTTTAGGTATTGGGTGGGATTAGGGATGTAGAATATGGTCATGCCTTATATGTTAATAATAGGTATGCTAATAAGCAACTAGTTAATAGTGAGAATTGGTCCCTGTATGATTTGCTGCTTAAGAAACATTTCCTATTATTATCATTGTTGAAAACAGTTGTGCTGCTTAATATTTGTGTAGAAACTATGATGCATTATTTGATGAATAGAAAGTTAAAAGAATAGAATTTATTTGAAGCAGAAATCTTTTGTAACATAAATGTCTTTACAGCCACTTTAATGGCTTCTCCACAAAAATGTAAACGGAAAAAGTAAAAGAGAACATATAAGTTGAAAAATATGAAACTATTGTTTTGGCTAGCGTTTAATTTAATGCATCATTTGTATAAAATGATGCACATGTGAAAACTTGCCCTTACCACACATTGAGAACCTTAGAGTAAACTTACATTTGTGTTTGGACTTTTGATTCAAAACCTTATTGAGATGTACCTCATATGATGACTTCCCAGTGTGACAACCAGCCCCAGTCACCCCTGTCTTCTGGATCTGTTTACTGCATGTTATCTTGTGTTCATTACATTTTTGGTGTTTTTTTGTGGGTCAGATAGGGCCATACCATCAGCCAATTCTGTAGGTATTTCAAAAATACCATTTGAATGTCCACCCATGCCTGTTGATCATCAACTGCAACTCTTTGCTTGTGTGTGTGTGTGTGTGTGTGTGTGTGTGTGTGTGTGTGTGTGTGTGTGTGTGTGTGTGAGAGAGAGAGAGAGAGACAAAATCAGGATGGATCAAAACATGGAAGCAAGGCTCATCTTTCTGTCTTTTATCACCACAAATGTTGCCATCACCATCATCATCATCATCATCATCACCATTAGAGTCATCCACTGCTGAAGCCAGGTATGTGATTTATGTTCATTTCAGTGATAGGCACTTGATTCATGTTATGATAATGTCTCCTCTTGTGTAAGCCTGTTGATTCTGTAACGAGGACTTGACAGGTTCAGTCACACCAAACTAATTCTGTAATGCTGGATCTGATTTTACAGATGGTACAAATGGTCTCTTATACAGACTTGGACTTGTTTAAGTTTAAGTTGGGCTTGGCATCGACATCGACATCTTGACAAATTTGCACGTGCTATTCATAGTGTCAAATTAAGTAAGAAATGATTCTTCCCATTTTTAATCTCCTGGAGTGTGACATCTAAATTACCTATTTTTAGCTTTACCCCCAATTCAGTTCTGGCTGTTCCATTAATAAATCGCTTGTGGATATTACGGACTGAAATAATGTATTATGTCTTTGAGATATTAAACTAAGAATAATCCCTCCAATTTCTGCTTCTGTTCAGGAGCTCTTCAGTTGGATAATTAGACGTTCGCTCATTGGTGGACGCGAGGACCATTTTATAAACTCTTAGAGGTGAAGTGTGTAATTTTTTCAAAGTTAAAATACTTTCTCCTATATGAGTTTTATTTACAGAGACAAATATACTGTTGGGAGTGTTTGGGAGAAGTGCACGGTTCAGCTTTAAGGATGAGCTTACAATAAATTGACTGGATAAGAACAACTTCTGCTAAACTGAAATGAGAGGGGGAAATACAATTACAAACATTCATCCTTCAATGATAACCTAAAAACATGCAAATTAACTGGTTTTATTCAACGAAATATTGTGAAACATATGCCAAATAAATAGCGTTTGTTGGTGTAAATCTGATATTATTTTCTGTGCTTAATACAGCAGCTTCCCACATAAATGAGTGTGTGTGTTATTCCTCTGTGGGCTAATTGTTATCAGATTAAAACTGTGATTCGTGTAGATTCCAAAACGTGAAACGCCCACACACAATTTTTTATTTTTTTTTGCAAAACACTGATGAATAAAGCATAAAAACTTTTCATTATTTATGTATTTTTATTTAAAATTCAATTTAAAAATCACCAATTAAGTTTCAAAATGTTTGGGAGAAAACATTTGTTTTTGCTTTTGTCTTTTTAAGCATGAGCTGTTAATATTTCTTCTTTTCTAAAGAAACATTTTTGTGAGGTTTTGAATTTTGATGTAATCCATTCATATATCCATCTGCAATTTATGAAGTGCACTCTTTAAATGATTTTTGGGGTATTTTTCCAGTGCCCAAACAAACTCATTATTTTGAGATTAACTCTTTTAAAGAGCTTTATAACCAGATGACATCAAACTGCGTTCATCTGGAAAATCTTTGTTTCGGTGAAGTTTAACAGGCTGGTTGATTTGCTCTGTGGTAGGGGCCTATATTTTGCTTATTTATGTAGTTTCTGAATATTTGAATAGGATCTATTTCAGAAAATGGTGTCATGGTCTTTATTCTGGGCCTCTGGGCATTCCACACAGCCTGGATGTGCTGAGAGAAGATGCCATGTGTATGGGGGTGTCAGTGTGTGTATGTGTGTGTGGGTGGGTTGTGTTTGTGTGTGCATGAGTGGATGACCGAGTTTGTGTGTGTGCTTGTTTGATGAGGTGTCAGACACCAGCTCCAGGGAAGGTAGCCGAATGTTGTTGTTGTTTTTTTCTTTTTTTCTTTGGTTCAGTGAGAATATGGCCACTGTGTCTTTGTTCCAGTTTCTTGATCTCTATGTGGCTAAAAGTGATAAAGTGTCTCAAAACATTTTAAAAACTCCATGTGCTTTCTTTGGTATATCGGTTGCTTTCTGATTTCATTCAAACACATAATGCCTCACATATGCATGTTTGCTTTATTGGCATTAATTAATTTATAAAAAAAAACATATACTGTGTATATAT